CCCCCCTCCCCCCCCTTTTCCAACCCCTCCCCCAAAGGTGTGGGACATCATCGGCCGCTCGGTGGTGGTGGATGCGGGTGAGGACGACCTGGGCCGGGGCGGCCATGCGCTGTCCAAGCTGACGGGGAACTCGGGGCCCAGGTGAGGCTGTGGGGCAGCAGGTCGGGTTTGGGGGGGTCTGCGGGGGGGGACAGCGGTGTGGTGACACCCCCACGTTTGTTTGCCCACTCTCCAGGTTGGCCTGCGGGGTGGTGGCCCGGGCAGCCGGGCTCTTCCAGAACCCCAAACAGCTCTGCACCTGTGATGGCCTCACGCTGTGGGATGAGCGGGAGCGGGCTGCAGCCCCCAGCCCCACGGCAGCCCCCACCCCACACCTGGAGGCGGAAGAACGAGCGGAAAAGCCTTTGGCCCCCCCCCCCCTCCTTCCACCCCCGAAGGACCAGAGAGAAATAAAGCGCTTTGCGTCTCTTTCTTCCCCCGAAAAGAAAGAGCGCGGCCCCTTTAAGAGAGGAGGTTGGGCGTCCTTAAGCAGCAGCTGGGGTGGCGCATGCGCAATGGGACGGAGACGTTATGTAGTGATGCGCGTGCGCAAAGAAACAATTTAGAGCTGCGCGGTCCAGGCGCGCATGCGTGCTCATTATGCAGCGGTGCGCGCGCGCAGCGAGCTCCCACTGCTGACTGGTGGCGCGTATGCGCATAAAACGGAGTCGTGAGCGGCTCGGCGTGGTGCGCATGCGCAGCGAGTGGGGCAGGACGGGCCGGTAAGCGGCGCGCGTGTGCAGTAAAGGGGCGGGAAGCCGGCGCGCGTGCGCAGTGCGCGATCACCGCCCCCCCTCCGCGCTGAGGAGGCGCCGCCATTTTGTGAGGCCGCCGCCGCCAGCGCCGCTAGCGCCGCCAGCGCCATGCGTCCCGGCATCAAACTGTTCGTGGGCAATGTCCCCGAGGAGGCGACGGCGGAAGAACTGAGCGAACTGTTTTCCGGGGCCGCCGGCCCGGTGCTCGGCATCGCCTTGATGAAACAGTTCGCTTTCGTTCACCTCCGGGACGAAGCGGCGGCGGCCCGCGCCATCACGCAGCTCAACGGCCATCAGCTGCACGGCCGCCGCATCGTGGTGGAGCCGTCCCGGCCGCGGCCCACCAACACCTGCAAGATTTTTGTCGGCAACGTCTCGGCCGCCTGCACCAGCGGCGAGCTGCGGTCGCTGTTCCAGCAATACGGCACCGTCGTGGAGTGCGATGTGGTCAAAGGTACCGGACCCGCCGCTCCGGGGCCGCCCGGCCCTCCCTCCCCCGCGCCGGGACCCCGTGGGGCCCTCAGAGCCCCTTACTGGGGGGGGGGGGTGCGGCCTCCGCGATGTGGTGCCGCGTGCGGCCCTGAGGCGGAGCTGGGGGGGGTGAGGAGGGGGCGAGCCGCTGCTCCGCGGGAGGCCGGAAGGGCGTCGGTACCCGGTGGCCGATAGGAGGCGGTTTGTGCTGCCGTTGGTTCACCTCGGGCTGCTGCAGCCCGGACGCAGCGAGCTGCTCCCCTACGGGCCGCGATGGGAGGGGTGGAAGGCTATAATTCCCCCCCATTAATTGGTACTGGGTCATTTCCATGCTCCTTGCCACCATTTATACACCTCAATCTACTGCAGTCTGGACATGGAGTTGAGCTGCTCCACTCTGGGCTGCATTGGGACCTTGGAAGGCTGTAATTACCCCCTGTTAATTGATATTAGGTGATTTCCATGCTCTTTGCCACCTCAGCCTGCTCCAGAGCAGTTGTGCAGAGTGTCCTATAGGAAGCTGCTCCCCTA